CACACCCCACACCCCACACCCCACACCCACGCCATACCATTCGTGCAGGTATCATCATGTGGGAGCTGATGACGCGCGAACAGCCCTACTCCGGCATGGGGTGCGTCGCCATGACCTACGACCTACACCTCGAGGTTATGCTTTTTGTGCTAATTCTCTTGTTTGGTGCTCTGTGCTCTGATTCAACTTACAGAACGGCGGCGGTGGCGGTGGCGGTGATCCGCGACAACCTGCGGCCGCGCATACCCGACGACCTTGAGATGCCGCACGAGTACAGCGAGCTCATGACCGGCTGCTGGCATCCCGACCCGGCCATCCGGCCCACGTTCCTCGAGGTCATGACGCGCCTGTCGGCCATCGCCGGTGACCACACGAGCATGGGCGGCACGTCGATGACCACCACGTCGTCGGGCATCTCCATGTCGGGCGGCTCGACATCCGCCGGCACCGGATCGGTGTCCTCGTCGAGCGCCTCGTCGGTCGTCGGCCTCGCCCCGACCATCAACGGCAACGGCGGCGGCGGCAGCAGCGGGGTGGCCCCGCCAGAGGGCGAGATGGCGGTGGTGTTCACGGACATCACGCGCGCGGCCTCGCTCTGGGAGCACGACCCGGCGGCCATGCGCGACGCCACCATGCTCCACAACGACATCCTCCGCTCGCTCCTCAAGAACACCGCGGCTACGAGGCCCTCTTTGCCCGCGGCGGCCACCACAACAGCGGCGAGGGGTCGTTCTGCATGGCCTTCCAGGAGGCGGGCAACGCGGTGGAGTGGTGCATGGAGGCGCAGCAGGCGCTGCTCAAGGCCGAGTGGCCGCGGCGGCTGCTCGAACACCCGGGCGCAGGCGAAGAATGGGGCGACACGGACGACCGGGTGCTGTTCCGCGGGCTGCGTGTGCGGATGGGCATCCACGTGGGCTCGCCCAGGAGCAAGCGCGACCCGACGACACGGCGCGTGGAGTACTCGGGCGCGGCGATCGACATCGCCGCACGCATCACGGCACTCACTCACGGCGGCCAGATCCTGGTGTCGGGTCCGGCGTTCGCCAAGCTCAAGTCCGAGAAGGTGCTTCGGTTCGCTCGCGTGGGTCGGTTCGACGTCACGGGCTCCCCCTCCGGTACGCCTTCGCCTTCGGAGCTAAAACGCTCTTTTGTTCCCCCCCCCCGATATTCGCATTTCGGTTGGCGGCTTAGTGGTAATGTGCGATCAGGCGAGGAGCTGCACGAGGTGAAGACCAGAGGCCTCGAGGCCCGCTTCTTCGGTGGCGTCGCTGACGATCGGTCCAGCTCGCGCCTCTCGTCGTCGTTCAACTCCAACGACGGCAACGAGTCGCGCGGGTCGCTGGACCAGCACGAGCTGCAGGCGCACGTGGGCGAGGGCATGGAGTTCAAGGAGGACACCTTCCTCACGTCGGCCAACATGGTGCGCTGGGTGGTGGACTTCAAGGAGATCGCGCTCGGGCGCCAGGTGGGCATGGGCTCCTACGGCGTGGTGCACCGCGGCCAGTGGAAGGGCGTCGAGGTGGCGGTCAAGCGGTTCATCAAGCAGAAGCTCGACGAGCGGCGCATGCTCGAGTTCCGCGCCGAGATCGCCTTCCTCTCGGAGCTGCACCACCCCAACGTGGTGCTCTTCATCGGCGCCTGCATCAAGTCGCCCAACCTGTGCATCGTGACCGAGTTCGTCAAGCAGGGCTCGCTCAAGGACATCCTGGCCAACACCAGCGTCAAGCTCCCGTGGACGCGCAGGCTCGAGCTGCTCCGCTCGGCCGCCCTCGGCATCAACTACCTGCACTCCATGCAGCCGATGATCGTGCATCGGGACCTGAAGCCGTCGAATCTGTTGGTGGACGAGAGCTGGAATGTGAAGGTGGCCGACTTTGGGTTTGCGCGCATCAAGGAGGACAACGCCACCATGACCCGCTGCGGCACGCCCTGCTGGACAGGTATGCAACGCACCCGCTGCACCAACGCCCAACGCTCTCCGTTCGGTGCACACAGCTTGACAGCTCACGATGTCTACACATCTCTGCTTGTTGTTGTGCAGCGCCGGAGGTGATCCGCGGGGAGAAGTACGGGGAGAAGGCCGACGTGTACAGCTTCGGCATCATCATGTGGGAGGTGCTCACGCGCAAGCAGCCCTTCGCCGGGCGCAACTTCATGGGCGTGTCGCTCGACGTGCTCGAGGGCAAGCGGCCGCAGGTGCCCGCCGACTGCGCGGCCGACTTCAAGAAGCTCATGAAGAAGTGCTGGCACGCCACGGCCAGCAAGCGGCCCGCCATGGAGGACGTGCTCTCGCGCCTCGACGACATCCTCCAGAACGCCCACGCCTCCGGCCCCACGCCCCGCTCGCCTCATCACGACGCCGTGTAAAGAAAGCAACGAAGCTTGTAGCAGAAAAAAAAGTTCACCAAAAGGCGAGGTGTGCCTCCCGCCACACGAGGCATGGGTGGTCCTCAGGGAGAAGCGCGTTGAAGGCGTACTTGAGCTGCCGCTGCTCGTGGGCGTCAAGCTTGCGCAGGTGCTGAAAGAGCTCCTGCGTGCTGTGTTCATCATCATCATGGACCACATCGAGCAGGGCGACCAGAGCCGCGGTGGCCCTGTCGAGCAGACGCGTCAGGGCGGGCTCGCGGGTCGGGTTCGGCATGCCGTAGGACTGGTCGGCCGACCGCAGCCAGTAGACCAGTGCCCGGACCATGCTCACCCGGTCTTGGAGAGACCGGGCCTCGGGCGAAGCGCAGTAGTCGCGCAGCAGGGCCAGCATCAGGTTGGCCATGCCCTCGACCGCGGCGGGCTCGCACTGCGATGTGGCCCAGAAGTGCTTGAGCCGCATTGCGGGGAGGAGCCGGAGGAGGTAGTAGTCCACGTCGCCGGCGTGGTGGAGGCCCAACCGCAGCATGCCCTCCCAATCGCGCTCGAGCGCCATTGAGTTCAGACGCGGGAGAAGGCAGGGCGACGCGAGCGCATAGGAGAGGTGCTTGATCCGGGGCCTCAGCTCCGTGGGCAAATGCGTGACCAGTGCGCCTGCAGCGTGTTGTGTGCGGCGTTGGTGTTGCGTGTCAGCAGGAACTGCAAGGCACACCAGCATATGGGGATGTGTATGTGCGCACCGACAAACACGCACAGGTCTCGGGAACGCTTGGCCCCGTGAGCCTCCAGTACGTGGAGGAGTGCGGGCATGAGCTCATCCAAATGGGCGGCCACGAGCTCGCGATGGCGCTCGAGGATGAGCCGCAGCACCGCCATCACCCCCGATAGGACTCTGTCACTCTGCTCTCAACAGGGAGGAGGGCTCTTGCCCCGATCAGGAGGGAGGGCACAGCAAGAGAAAGAAAAGAGAAAGCTGGCGTACGGTACCGGGTGGCCTGCGGGCGAAAAATCGAATCGGAGCAGTGCTCTTTGGCCATCGATAGGAGGAGTGTCGGCGCAGGCGGAAAGGAGCTCAATCAGGCGGAGCAGCAGGACCGACTCGCCGCCATCGGGCACCCAGTCAAGGTGGGTCATCGCCTGCTCTTTCACAATCTCGTGGAGCAGTGCCAGACTTCGAACCAGCAGGTGCGCGCGCTTAAGTGTTTACACCCCACCACCAGACCCGAGCGCCGCGGCGATGAGCGAGAGACACATCACCATCATCCCAAGCAGCCAGCCTGGTCACGTACCTCGTGGCTCTTGTCACCAACCAATGGAGCGGACCCAGACGAAACAATCTCCACGCATTTCCTGGCAATCGCTCTCGCCCTCTCCCCTACACGCTCTGGTGGTGGGTGGAGGGTGGAGGGTGGAGGGTGGTGGTGGGTGGGTGGTGAAGGCCGCGCCTTGTCGAGAGGGAGGTGAAGAAGAAATGGAAGTGTACGGATTCGGTGGAAATGGAAGAAGCCTATCACGGCTCCTTGCTCCCGGAGGGAGAGGGTTCCGACACTCGACTCCAGGAGCTGGTCTACGACCGCGTGCAGCTGCGGCTCATTGAGACCGTGGCAGCGTTGAACGACGCTGATGGCCTGCTCGAACGACCTGCCCTGCTACACTCACACAAGCGGGAATTGTAGACCCCCCGGGTTGTCCCCGCGCACAACGTTGGCAGCTGTCAGCTACTGAGGCGACATGGGAAGTTGAGGCCTTTGGGGGGGGAGGGTTATAAAGGAGTACCGGAGGCTGGCGCAGTACGCCTTGGCATGCCTGGGCGATGGCCCCATGGGAGGATTGCGTCAGGGGGAGGAACCGATCGATTGCTACAAGGGCAGCCTCGCAAACCGCGGGGTCGGCCAGCTGCTCCGCCAGCTTGAGCACTGTCGTGTCTGGCTCAGGAAACTGCTGCGCGCGCATGCCCGCCGTGTCGCAGCTCGTCCGGCGGACCATGACCTAATGGGTGACTCAAGAGGGAGTGTCACTCACATTACCTTTGCCGTCGCATTTGACTTGCTGAGGGGAAGCGAAGCAGCGCACCACAGGGTCGTACAGACATTCTTCCACAAAGGCCAGATGAGGCGCAACCAGGTCGAGATGCCCGCCGTAGGGGAAGCTCTGGAAAATGGCGAGCACTCGCAGTCCGCCAACTCTGTTGATGTTGGTGGTTGTTGGTCGTTACTGTTAGTAAGGCCGGTGTTTGCCTCTGGCGCACACATGTGTGATTGCAGACAATCTGAGCAAAGGACCGGACCTATATTGCCAGGGGCCGCTGTGGTCGAGCCAGTGCTGAATGCCCCCCAAGGCCATGGGTATGGCCACCTTCGGTTGGCTCTTGGTTAGTGTGCGCAGGCAGACCAGAGCCTCTGGGAGCTCTTCATCTGTCCGCGCCATCATCAGCCCTAGGAGAGGACCGTAACACTCGCATCTTCAGCAGGTGGACATGAAGGGTTATGGGCGAACAGTCCAAGGGCCAGGTCAAGCACTACCTTTTTCACGAGCGGCGGCGATCATTTGCTGCAGTTCGACTGGTAGGAGGCTCACGAGGGGGGCCAACGAGTCGGTGTAGTGGTTCTTGATGTGCTCCACGCACAGGCCCAGCAGCGGAGGCACTCCTGGTGTGCCGGGCAAGGCGTGCTTGATCAGCGTTGCCACCAACCTGTGGTCTACGAGGTCAGGGCCTGATGAAAAGACAAAGTGTGCGTGGTGGTGAGGCTACCGAGGGCCGAAGAGCTCGAGGAGCGCCCGAAGTTGTGCCGAGTCACAGTAACAGGACAGCGTCTGAACGACATGCAGGGCAGCGGTGAACACCACCTCGTTCGTTTCCTGCGATGAGAAAGGCACTCGCGGTGACGCATGACCAGCGTTACTCCCACGGAGAGCGCGGGGAGGTGGGCAGTCCCAGGGTCCGCACCTGCTCGAGGCGCTCCACCAGCACCTGCATGCAAGTCGCGTCGAAATGCGGGCACCACTCGCTCTCGCTCACTGCCAGCAGAGCGCTGGCCCGGAGCGCCGGATCTGGGTAGCGGGCGGCAACCTCCAACAGCTTCTGCTCCTCCATAGACACCACACCCAAGGCACCACAGGTGAGCACAACCCTCATGGCCTCGGCCATCACAGGGATTGGGTTAGGGTTAGATCGAGGGGTGGTGCAGGCAGAGAGACGAACCCGAACCGACTGGTTAGAAAATCCTTCCGGGTAGGTCATGCGGTACAGGTCTGTGGCCGGAGACGGAGGCAACTGGTGCGGTAGCTGCGGCTCGAGAAGAGCCGACAGGCAACGCAGCAGCAGAAGCGCTGTCGTTTGGTCGTCCGCAGACAGAGCCAACCACACATGCCACAGCTTGGGCGAGTGTCGGACATAAAGAAACTCAATCGGGTCAGCATCGTCGTCGTCATCGTCACCACCATCTTCGGTCTGTAGTTGCTGCTTCCACAGCTCGAGTACGTGCGGCCCGATCGCGCGAAAGATTGCCGCCTTGTGCAGCAGCTGCGACTGCTTGCTGTGTGCAGACACACGGAGTCAAAATGATCGTTTAAGTGCAAAAGTACTGAAGAAGAAGAAGAGAGCTGGGCAACACCTGGTGGCCGATTCAAGGAGAGCCGACAGACAACCGTGCGGACTATAGTCGAGGAAAACCCACGCGAAGAGCTTGTGCAGGGCGCGCCGTTCAGCGGTAGCAATTTCTCGCGGCGAGGGGGTGGAGGGGGAGAGGAGTCCGAGAAGGACCCGTACGAACTGCAACGCCGCTTCGTTTACCAACAGTCCACCCTTTTGGTTCTTCTGCCACTCGCGGAGGACGCACCGCTCCACGGATGCCATCTCGCCCTTCTTCAATTTAACCTGAAGCTTCGGATTTTGTTTTCTATTTCTTTCTCGCCCAATTCTTTTTCGGACGTTTTCCTTTGTCGTTTCTCTTTCTTTGGGTAGAAACAATCCGATTGGCTGAAGGCGGCGATATGCCCCAACGCTAAAGCTACACGTCCCCTCACAGGTTTGTCCTTTTTTACCCATTCGATTCGCACGTCAAGGAGTAAGCAGAGGAGATGGTGTTAGGTCATTGGCTGTTGTTGGTTGTGATGGTGGTGGCTGCCGCCAACGCGCAGGGCTTCCACGGTGCTGCCTGGGAACAGAAAAGCAGCCCAGGTACAGCCCAGGTCCCCCCTTCTTTGGTCAGTTTTTTTCCCCACCCCACCTTCTACTCACCGTGCCAACCGACAAACCAGACAAGCAGGACATGCTGTGGAAAGCCACCATGGCTGACCCCACACCCAATGAGTGGCCTGGTGCTCTTGCGGAGGCCGTGCTGTTTGTTGAACAGATGAACCTCACCTTCTACTCCGTTGGTATATTATGCACCCGCCACCTTGATGACCATCCAGTTGTTGGTCACCATCTCCTCGCGCTGATGAACAACAACAACAACTGGCAACTCAGATTGGGACGAGTTCATGCCCAATGAGATCAAGACGTGGCCTTACAAGACTGGATATGCCCGTACCAAGCTCATCCACTCCCAAGGTGCGACATGTTGGGCGATCAACTTCATGCGACTTGCAGGGACTGTTCACTAAACAGTGGTGGTTGGCCCGTCGGTGGGCAGGTGTTGTGGCGCTTGTGAGTTGGAAAAGTATGGGGAACCACAACTACACGGGCTTGTTCCAAGGCGTACGACTTGCTCCGATTCAAGCCTGCCGCTGCTCCTCCTCTGACTTCCAAATGACACCGCATCGCAGGCGACCCACGGTCTGATGCGGCTTTCCCTGGCTGCCCAGCCTGACGTGAGTGCAGATAGCCCCAAAATGGCCCCTGGTATCGTATCAGCTCTTGTGTCAATGTACTGCTCTGAAGTCTCACGATCTCTGAGTCAAACAGGTGTGGCATTCAAGTTCTTGAGGGACAGCATGCCAGCTTCGCAGGTCATCGCCATGTACCAGCTCGGAGGTACGCTTGACCCAAGCCACGCACAGAGATCGAGGTCTTTGAAAAGATCACCAACCAACCTTTTATTCGATCCATTACAGGACAGAGCAGCTTCAACTTCTTCGAGCACGACCTGACCAACCACGTGCCGGACCTTGGCACCAGCGCGCCTTTCACACTGAGAGCGCTTAGGGCGGCTTTCGCGGCGGCTTCCAACTGGCCCACCATGCGTACGCGCCCAGCACTCTCTGGATTCACTTCACCACTCGATGCTCAGTTGTGTGCTGTGTGCGGTTGTGCGATTTTGCGTGTCTGTGTCCGTGTTGCAGTTGGATTGAGTGAGTTTGCCAGCTTCACTGAGAGTGGAGCCGCAGTGCCCAGCCCCAACGCCCCCTTCCGTGTGGTACAGGGCGCTGACAACCATTTTTTTGGTCTTCTCTGCTTCTTTGGGCATGAGCCCCTCTTCTCATTGGGCTTGGTGGTGGGTGCCCATGCGACGACAGGTGTTCCATCCCACCGCAGCCTATCATCAAAAATTCAACAACACAACGCCAAAGCCCGACATTCTCGCTGACGTTGGCCAGGTGCGTACCCGCCCTCCCACCACAATCCCTCCAACGCCGATCAGCCACTTGGACCCAAAAGCAACGTTGCTTGAGCTCATGAGTTGTGAGTGTTGTGCAGGCTTTGGTCCCTGGTTCGATGGTGTACGAAGTGTGGGCGCAAGACAGCCCCTACAACGACCCCAACGACCTCCAGCTCATCGGCACCCTCGTGCTCAACTCCAAGGGCTTCACGCACGACCACACAAGCCTCCCAACCATGTTTTCGTAGTCGGACTGACCCAAGCGCGGTGGGGGGGGCCAATGTAGGTCAATGTTTGGCGACAAGACACTGTTCATGCGCCACGTACGCATGGAGGATGACCTGGCACTCAAGCCCCAGTGGGTGGCAGGAGCGCAGGTCATCATCAACAATCAACAGAGCCTGCCCCAGTACTACTTCCAGGACCTCCCCTGGCAGTGAGAGCCCATGTACCCTTGGAAGAGCGAAGAAAGAAGACAAACGAAGGAATAAAAAGAAAAGTAAGATTAAGGCGGGGTCGCTGTCTGGGCGAGGTCGGACACGAGCGCGAGGGAAAGGTGACGGAGCGATGTGCGGCTCTGTGGGTGAAGCCGCCTGACTCACACCGGCTCCAGGATGTCTCGAACGTGCAGCTGCGTTTCTTCGATGACCCCGTGCAGTTCTCTTCCTGAACACACTTTCTTCTCTCCCACCCGGACGTTTTCCTTTCTCTTTCTATGTTTTGAAAGAAATACGCCAGTGGCTGGTAAGAAACAAAGCGATTGTGAAAGGAATAGGCGTTGCCCAATCTTGTAATTCCCACCACATTGGCGGTCGCCCGTTCTATGTCGTACAACATAGAACGTTGAAGTAAGCGGAGAACATGGTGAGCACGCTGGCTCATGGGCTGTTGTTGATTGCGCTGGTGGTGGCCACCAACGCGCAGGGCTTCCACGGTGCCGCCTGGGAACAGAAAAGCAGCCCAGGTCCCCCCCCCTTCCTCTGGTCAGTTAGTCCGCACGATTAAACCATACTTGGTACTCACACCGTGCCAACCGAAAAATCAGACAAGCAGGACATGCTGTGGAAAGCCACCGTGGCTGACACCAAATCCAATGAGTGGCCCAACGTTCTTGAGGAGGCCTTGCTGTTGGTTGAACAGATGAACCTCACCTTCGACTCTGTCGGTATATAGGCATCCACCCACCACCTTTATGACCATCTCCACGCACTGATGGCAACTGGCAACTCAGATTGGGACGAGTTCATGCCCAATGAGATCAAGACGTGGCCTTACAAGACCGGATATGCCCGTACCAAGCTCATCCACTCCCAAGGTGCGACATGTTGCACCTTCCTCGTGTATGCCACTTTTTGATACATGCGGGATAGTGCACTAAACAGCAGTGATTGGTGGGCCGGTTGGTGCAGGTGTTGTAGCACTTGTGAGTTGGAAAAGCCTGGGGAACCACAACTACACGGGCTTGTTCCAAGGCGTACGACTTGCTCTGATTCGTTGTGATCTCAGTCAGGCCTGACTATGATTCTAAATGGCACCGCTTTTTCAGGCGACCCACGGCCTGATGCGGCTTTCCCTGGCTGGCCCGCCTGACACGAGCGCAGATAGCCCCAACATGGGTCCTGGTATCGCACATCAACTCTCCTCTGGCCACGTTTGTTGATTGCTCTGGCGTCTCACGATGATGTCTTTGTACAGGTGTGGCATTCAAGTTCTTGAGGGACGGCATGCCAGCTTCGCAGGTCATCGCCATGTACCAGCTCGGAGGTACGCTTGACCCAAGCCACGCACAGAGATCGAGGTCTTTGAAAAGATCACCAACCAACCTTTTATTCAATCCATTACAGGACAGAGCAGCTTCAACTTCTTCGAGCACGACCTGACCAACCACGTGCCGGACCTTGGCACCAGCGCGCCTTTCAAACTGAGAGTGATTCGGGAGACTTTTGCGGCGGCTTCCAACTGGCCCACTATGAGTACGCGCCCAGCACTCTCTAGATTGGTTTGACCACAGCAGATGCTCAGTTGAGTGCTGTGCGATTGGGCATGTCCGTGTCCGTGTTGCAGTTGGAGTGAGTGAGTTTGCCAGCTTCACTCAGAGTGGCGCGGCAGTGCCCAGCCCCAACGCCCCCTTCCGTGTGGTACAAGGCGCTGCCATCCATTGTTCTCGTCTTCTTCTTCTTCTTTTCTCCTCATGAGCCCCGTCTCACCGGGCGCGGTGGCGTGACGACAGGTGTTCCATCCCACCACAGCCTATCATCAAAAATTCAACAACACAACGCCAAAGCCCGACATTCTCGCTGACGTTGGCCAGGTGCGTACCCGCCCTCCCACCCAATCCCTCCTTAGCCCCGGGGCCGACCATCCCCCGACCCAAATGCAACATTGCTTGAGCTCACAAGTTGTGTGTGATGCAGGCATTGATCCCTGGCTCGACGGTGTACGAAGTGTGGGCGCAAGACAGCCCCTACAACGATCCCAACGACCCCCAGCTCATCGGCACCCTCGTGCTCAACTCCAAGGGCTTCACGTACGACCACACACAAACCATGTCTGGGCGTAGGTGGACTGACCGAAGTTTGCTGCGTGGGGGGGGGCGTGTAGGTCGATGTTTGGCGACAAGACGCTGTTCATGCGCCACGTGCGCATGGAGGATGACCTGGCACTGAAGCCCCAGTGGGTGGCAGGAGCGCAGGCCATCATCAACAATCAACAGAGCGTGCCCCAGTACCACTTCCAGGACCTCCCCTGGCAGTGAGAGGGTCTCACACCACCGCGTGTCCCAAGGGCGAATAAAGAAAGAAGACGAATGAACGAAAAGAAAGGCGCTGTCAGGACAAGGCGAGTTCGCACACGAGCGCGAAGTGGTCCGAGGGAAAGGTGACGGAGAGGAGCGATGTGCGGCTCTGTGGGTGAAGCCGCCTGACTCGATCCTTGCTCACCGGCTCCAGGATGCCTCGAACGTGCAGCCGCGTTCCTTCGATGATCCCGTTCGGTTGCTTCCTGGCGTCTTGCTGCTCTTCCTCTTCTTCGTTCTCTTCTTCCCCACCGTGGTCTTCTTTACGTTGTCGATGGGCCGCATCGCTGAGGCCAGGCCCACGTTTCGGAGAACCGCCGTCCGTGGCGGGCCTCGATGTGAAAGGGCTGGTGGAGATCCAGATGTAGTCTAGGGTGCCGTTGAAGCTGGGGGTGTAGTTGGTGAATGCAGGCTCCCACTTATGGTCGTCTCGCATCTTCCTATTCTTCTTGTTCTTCTTTTTGCTCCGCTTGCGCTTCTTGTTTTGGCTCTCCTCCGTGCTGCTCAACTCGTCGCCCTGCTCGTCGTGGTTGGCGTCGTCAATGCGGCCGAGCACGTGGGCGTAGGCGCTGGTCAAGTTGAGCCCCTGACGCAGACCGGTGCGCGCGTATTCGTCTGACACCTGCGTCGATAGATTGACGTGGCCCGGCTCCACAAAGCCCTTCATGAAGCCGAAGGGACCGAGGTTACTCTTGGATTCGACGCCGATCACCACTTCACAAACACACCACGTTCTGGGAAAGCAGGAAGCCAACCTGCGACAGTAAGCTGTAGACCGAGCTGTTGGGAAGACTGTTGAAGTCGCCACAGAGCACCACGGGCACTGGAGAGTCGCCGTTGCGAGGAAGGAATCAGTCAACCTTGAGTAGAAGTCGATGCAGTGCACACTTGCAAGACAAGATGGAGGGTTGTACCAGGCGTCTCGCTGTCTCGTTCGCGCTGCCATTCTGTGATGATGCGCTCGATGGCTTGCGTGAGGAGAAACACCTGCATGAGCTTGATCGAGGGATAGGTCGGGTCCCAGTAGATGTGCGTGTTGGCCACGCATAGGTACGCAGGTGGCGCGCTCGAATGGGTGCCCTCGACAGCGCGCTTGACTCGGAGCATCAGCACCATGGCCTGCTTGTCGCTGGTGCGGAACTGGCTGCGGAAGTATTTGTTGATCGCCGTGCCGCAGGGCAGTTGGTCGATGAGGTGCATAAACTCCAGCTTGTGCACTTGCACCGGGCTGAACAGCGAGGTACGGAAGAACGTGGCATTGCCCACCGGGTTGTCCCTGCTCTTGCGCAATCACGAGAGAAGCCCAGTCAACATCCCAAAGCAAACAGTGAAGCAGAAGAGAAAAGAAGAGGGAGACAGCGGACCGTTGTTTGCCGACGTCAAGAAAGCCGTCTATGGGCCTCTCTCCCGCTGGCGGTTGAAACACGCCCTCGAATCCGAGGTTCTTCAGATACTTGCAGAAATACCTGGGCGAGAGGAGCGCAATTAGGACGGTTTGATGGTGGAGAAAGGCATTGGCGAACAGTAGTAGTAGCAGGAGCACCCTTCGTAGGCTCTCTTTTCTATTTCCTGGAAGCACACGATGTCGGCCCTGCTGTGAAGCACCTCCCACAAGATCTTGCGCTTCCGATAGCTCCACTTGTGAGCCCACTCCGGACATCCGTGGTCTCCTGGCGTAACGTTCGTGTGAGACACGTTTCAGAGATCATTCATGCACACAACTATGCGCATAGGCCCCACGCGTGCATGGTGGTCATGGCGGCGCGTACCGTTGGGAGAGGTCCACGAGGGAGCGAGAAGGTTGTAGGTCATGACCCGAAACCTTGTTTCCGGTGTTGTTGCCGAGGGCGAGGTTGAAGTGGTGCCTCTCTCAGCGGGGCTTGCCTTCTTGTCCGCCTCTTCTTCGGCCACGGAAGCGTGCGCGTAGAGCATCCGCCTTTGAGGCAATTCCTCCTTGACTCCACCCCCGTAGTGTAGAGGTCAGCGGCGTACACCTTGCGAGCGACAAGCAGCAGCAGCAGCAAGGGGAGTCACAGTCACAACTTACTGGGTTTGAGGGGCAAGGGCTTCAAGTAGCGCAGGAAGAGCTGCGGGTTGGCGGCCAGCTTCCGCTTCGTGACGTTCGACACCTTCAACTTTCTGAGTTCCGTCAGCCCCTGCATCTCCACTGGTGGAGATGATACGTCATGCATAGGCACTGATGAGCGCCGACTTGGTGTCGACTTTGTGCACACCGCGGATGGCGCACGTACGCGGAAGAGCTGCAAGAGGGTTGCCTAACAGGTTGAGGACCTGCAGCTGAGTGAGTCCGCCCACTGCTGCCGGGAGCGTCGGCAGCTGGTTGAAGCTCAAGTCCTGAGGACCGCACAGAGCATGATCAACGATTTTATATTAAATGAAAAAGGATGAAGGAAGATGGTACGTACGAGGCGGGTGAGATGGGGAAGATGGAAGAGGGAAGGGGGCAGGGCGATGAGGTTGTTGTGGCTCAGGTTGAGGTCGGTTAGGACCGCTCGCTCCTTTGGGCCGAGTGCGGCCAACTTTGCTTCGAGCGCATCAAAACTATCGAAACCGTGGCCGAGCCCGCACAGGTTGAGTGCGTACGCACTGCAGGCTTCGCCCTCCATCTTCCACTTCGTGAGTCCACCAAGTTTTATTCACTTCTGCCACATTTTTATATTTGATTTATTTAATTGTTTTTATTTCTTGCATCTTTTCCTTAATTCTTCTAGCTTGAGCGCTCCCCGGTGCCGCAACGTGAAGCTACCGCCACAACGCACAGTGCCACGCCCGTGCGTTTCTGAGGTGGAAACAGGCCGGATGGGGGGAGCGACCCACGGAGCTCAGACCGGACCGCGAAACTAAGGCGGAGCAGAATTCGTTCGGGCTGAGGCCGTCCCTCCCAGCTGTCTTCGCCCGCGTCCCCAAGACACCGTCGTGGCCAGTTCTGCCCTTTTTGGCGACTTTTTCTGCGGCGTGGACTCCAGGGCGCACCAACTGGCGGGCAAGCTCGGCGGTTGCTTCCAATCGGCAGGCGAGGATAGTATTAGCAGACCGCTAACTGAGATCTCCTATCAAGACCCCGGCAACTGTCGAGGCCATTGGTCGAAACGGTACCATAACCAGCCCACCGTTGCCGTGTTGGTGCTCTTACGGTACACCAACCGCGAGGCCTCGCGGCGCCGGTGTGCTTGGCGCCACGATTCGGTTTCATTTGTATTATCAGTTTATTCAACACCCCGCACAACACAGCACACCACTGACTCGCGATACCCATGGGCACCGCACCTTCGCGAACCTTCGCGTTCTCCTCTTGCTTGTACATTGCGGCGGTGGTGATCTTCTTTTGCGGCTTTTCCCACCCTGGTACGACCTTGTCCCTTCCCCCAATTCCGCACCACTGACTCCGGCGCATCTCCTTCTCTCTCTCTTTCTCCCCATAACCCAGCGGAGGGCACGGTGGTGGTGAATGGAGTGGGCAATGTGCACCCGAATTTGTTCACGACGTGGAGCGAGGGCTACTCGTTCAACACCGAGAACTTTGTGATAAACTACGACGCCGCCGATGACACCACAGCCTCGCTGGCTCGCGTCGAGAGCGGCGCCATTGAGTACGTGCTCACCGACGGTCTCATCGCCCCGAGCACCCTGCCCGCCAACGCCCTGCAAGTGCCGGTGGCCGGGTCAGCGCTGGTGATGGCCATCAACCTGCCCTCAATCGCCGACTCCGCTCTCGTAAACCCACCGCACTTTTGCTTGCCGCGCCATTTTTAACTCCGAAGCCTTAACGCCTTGTGGTGTCGCTGTAACTCCTGACAAAATGGTTGGTGGTGATGGTTGTGGGGGGGGGGCGAACAGGTGGTGAGCAGCGAGGTGCTGGCCAAGGTGTGGATGGGCACCATCACCACGTGGGACCACGCCGACATCGCCGCCCTCAACCCCAATGTCACCCTGCCGGCCAACGCCATCACGCTCGTGGTCTCTGAGGCGCCGAGCAGCGTGGAGATGAGCGGCGTGCTGGTGCGCGCCCTGTCTGCCGTGTCGAGCTCGTTTGCGGCGGCTTTGGCGTCGGCGGGCTCACTCGCGGCCATGGTGCCGGCGAGCGCCATGAAAGTATCCGGCACCGACGCTCGCCTGGCCACCGTCAAGGTACCTTGCCGCCTTTGACCAGCCGCGCACATGCACACACTCAAAGACATCCCATAACCCTTGGCCCGTCACGCAGGCAAACTTGTACAGCATGACATACGCCGACTACGGATCGGTGCTCGCAGCCGGCATGGCGTGCGCGCGCATGAAGAACGCGGCCGGTCGCCTGGTTTCGCCCTCGGCCGCCGCCATCCAGTCGGCCATGACCGACTTCAGCACCTCTGTCAAAGGTGGTACGTCGCGTCGTTGGGCTTTGCCGTTGACACTCCGCTCGGCTCTCTATCGAGTACAGATTCTATTCATTTGGCCATGGGGCTCACTCCAATTCTGTTACCCTCGGCGTGTGGGCAACAGGGGACATGAGCAGCGACATCTCAAACGGAGCGGGCAACGCCACGTGGCCGCTGGCCTACACGGTCTTCCTCACCACGTTGCACACCAAACAGGCCAAGGACTGCGGGCCGGCCGAGGGCCTGATGCGATTCTTGAGCTGGGCGCAGACCAATGACCGCGCGGGGACGACGATCAACGCGCAGGGCTGGGGCGCGCTGGGGATCGTGTACAAGAGGGCGCTCATCAACTCGTTCGGCACCGTCGAGTGCAACAACGAGACTGCCCTCAGCACGGCTTATATCATCGGCTTGGGCGGAGGAATTCGAGCAGTCGACGACTGGGCCGTGTCCTACGCCTCCAACTCCTTCGTGCAGAAATTCTACTACTCCGATACGGCCAACGCCATCACTCAGATGATCCAAGGCACCATCGACTTTGGCGCCCTCAGCTTTGAGCCGACAGAGGCGCAGTGGGCACAAATGCCAAGCATTCAATTGGTGCCGGTGCTGGGCCAAGCCGTAATCCCCTCCTATAATGTACGTACCACGCCCTCCGGCGTAGACTTGGCCCGATAGGCAGTGATGGTGGTGACAACCAACCAACCCATCCACCCATCATTATCTCCGATCGACAGATACCCGAGCTGCTGGAGGCAGGCCCGCTTGTGCTAACGTTGGAGATCTTGGCCGACATCTACCTCTCCAATATCGACAACTGGCGCGACCCAAGCATTCTCGCCGCCAACCCCCGCATTGCTGACTTGATCCCCAATAAGCCCATCATTGTGATCGTACCGACGGTATGCTACTCTTCGAAGAGGCCTTTGTGTATATATATACGGTCAGTCCTCTCGAGCTGACATATGTGCGTTCTTGTGGATCACAGATTTACTCGGTGATGACTCTCGTCGGTTCCTCGGCAATGGCCAAGGCTGTCCCTGAGTTCAACACAGCCGTACGTTTTTTTCTGTCGCAGGACCTCACAACTCTCGTGGTACTAATCGGAAAGTGCGTGGATAGGTGGGATCGGGAGGTCTGTTGAAGTTCCCGGTGCAGACCAAAGCCCCTGAGCGGGTCCTCGAGATTGCTGGCACCAGCGCGGCCCAGGTCCCCTTGGCCGTCGCCAACCCCTACAGCATCTTCTTCACCCTCAGCGGCCAGATCGACGTCACCACCGCCCTCAAGCCCGCCTCCCTGATCAACCCCGCTGGAAACATCGTAGCCGCCGGATCAGAGAGCGTCCTCTCCGCCCTCGACGACTTTGCGAACACATCAGACTACATCCTCCTGCTCGGTACGCTCCGTGCGCAGTTCGAATTCCAGAGTCGCACAGCTGGACTAACTACACCGGTACGACCATCACAGGAAAAGGAGCGGGCACGTGGCCCATGGCGACCTATAACGGCCTGCTCATCCACGTGACTGAGTCCAGCAACTGCGCCAAGGCCAAGGCGCTCGTCGACTGGATCTACTACACGCAGAGTTCTTCGGTGGCGTCGACTATCGCGACCAGGAACGGCGTCACCACGGCGGGCCGATCGCCGGGCGTGCTCAAGCGAATCCTCACGCAGCTCACCAGCGTCACGTGCCAGGGGGCCAAGGTCAGCTCCATCGCCCCGTGCGTGCGCGACGGCGTGCTGTGCTCCGATCACGGGTCGTGCCCGTCGGGCGAGTGCGTGTGCGCCAGCGGCTGGAGCGGCACCTTCTGCGATGGTATCTCTGCACAATCCCCCTCCGGGACCTCTAATGCTTGAAGCATGGTCTCATCGCCTGTGTACTGCGCAGAGGAAGTGGGATCATCGTCCAGCAGCGACTCGACGACGATCGCTCTGGCGGTGGGACTGGGCGTGGGGGTTCCGTTCTTCCTGATCGTGATGATCCTCGCCGCCGTGGGCATCATCATGGCGGTGATCGTCAAGAAGAGGCAGTGGGGCAACGACAACTGGGAGATCTCACCGAGCGAGCTCGAGATGGAGGACCACCTCGGCACTGGCGGGTACGCTCTGCTCTCTGCTCTCGCCTATGTCCGCGTCTGCCGACATGTTGGCCGTGGGAATGTTGTTGTGTGGGCAGGTACGGGAGTGTGTACAAGGCCAAGTGGCGCGGGACGGAGGTGGCGGTGAAAGTGATGTCGTCGGAGGTGGTGACCAAGGAGATGCAGCGCCAGTTCGCCGACGAGGTGCGTCCCCTTTTCCCCCACTTCTGCCACTCTTCCTTGTCGGCTGATCGGTGACCGATCAATTTGGGCTAATCGTGTTGATGCCTGCACCAGGTGCGCATGATGACGGCGTTGCGGCATCCGAACGTGGTGCTGTTCATGGCGGCGTGCACGAAGCCACCCAAGATGTGCATCGTCATGGAGCACATGTCTCTCGGCTCTCTCTACGAGGTACAATATATCATCATTATTATTCCGCAATTCACCACATCTATCTCACGTGTTGACCCGTGTGACCATGCCGTAGCTACAACCTCAAATTTATAATTCGTCCCTCCTGCTTGTTTAGTTGGCCTTGGTTTGTGACTGACGCCATTTGTGTCTCGTGCAGCTGTTGCACAACGAGCTCATTCCTGAGATTCCGCTGGAGCTCTCAGTGAAGATGGCGTACCAGGCGGCCAAGGGGATGCACTTCCTGCACTCGTCGGGCATCGTGCACCGCGACCTCAAGTCGCTCAACCTGCTGCTCGACGCCAAGTGGAACGTCAAGGTGAGCGACTTTGGGCTGACCAAGTTCCGCGAGGAGGTGCAGAAGGCGACGGTGCACGAGGCCCAGGGGTCGATCCACTGGACGGCGCCCGAGGTGCTCAACGAGACCGCCGACCTGGATTACACGCTCGCCGACGTCTATAGCTTCGGTGCTTCCTTTCTTCATCAACTCAATGAGCTGTGCCACTCCTGCGATAGCACGAAACTCACCATGGCATGGCATTGGGGGCGCTCACTGCATGCAGGTATCATCATGTGGGAGCTGATGACGCGCGAACAGCCCTACTCCGGCATGGGGTGCGTCGCCATGACCACTACGCCTTGAAGTTGCTCCAGGAAGTCATTTTAGTTTTTAGTTCTCATCCTTCTTTGTTGGTACGCGTGTCTGCAGAACGGCGGCGGTGGCGGTGGCGGTGATCCGCGACAACCTGCGGCCGCGCATACCCGACGACCTTGAGGTGCCGCACGAGTACAGCGATCTCATGACCGGCTGCTGGCATTCGGACCCGGCCATCCGGCCCACGTTCCTCGAGGTCATGACGCGCCTGTCGGCCATCGCCGGTGACCACACGAGCATGGGCGGCACGTCGATGACCACCACGTCGTCGGGCATCTCCATGTCGGGCGGCTCGACATCCGCCGGCACCGGATCCTCGTCAAGCGCCTCCATCGTCGGCCCTGCCCAGGCCAACGGCAACGGCGGCAACGGCGGCGGCGGCAGCAGCGGGGTGGCCCCGCCAGAGGGCGAGATGGCGGTGGTGTTCACGGACATCACGCGCGCGGCCTCGCTCTGGGAGCACGACCCGGCGGCCATGCGCGACGCCACCATGCTCCACAACGACATCCTCCGCTCGCTCCTCAAGAAGCACCGCGGCTACGAGGCCCTCTTTGCCCGCGGCAGACACGTCAACAGCGGCGAGGGGTCGTTCTGCATGGCCTTCCAGGAGGCGGGCAACGCGGTGGAGTGGTGCATGGAGGCGCAGCAGGCGCTGCTCAAGGCCGAGTGGCCGCGGCGGCTGCTCGAACACCCAGGCGCGGGCGAAGAATGGGGCGACACGGACGACCGGGTGCTGTTCCGCGGGCTGCGTGTGCGGATGGGCATCCACGTGGGCTCGCCCAGGAGCAAGCGCGATGCTGCGACGCGGCGCGTGGAGTACTCGGGCGCGGCAGTCGATGCTGCGGCGGGCATCACCGCTCTCGCCCACGGCGGCCAGATCCTGGTGTCGGGTCCGGCATTGACCAAGCTCAAGGCCGCCGCGAGCCCGGAAAAGCTTCGGTTCGCTCGCGTGGGTCGGTTCGACATCACCGGCTCTCCCTCCGGTACGTTGTCCCACCGCATAAGTAGAGCAATCGTAGTAGGTGTCACGGTACTTACCTCAAGTTGTCTATCGCAGGTGAGGAACTGCACGAGGTGAAGGCGCGGGGTCTTGAGGCCCGCTTCTTCGGCGGCGTCGCTGACGATCAACACGGCTCGTCGCGAACGATGTCGTCATCGTTCAATTCGAACGACGATAGGTCGTCGCGCAAGTCGCTGGACGAGCTGCAGGCGCACGTGGGCGAGGGCATGGAGTTCAAGGAGGACACCTTCCTCACGTCGGCCAACATGGTGCGCTGGGTGGTGGACTTCAAGGAGATCGCGCTCGGGCGCCAGGTGGGCATGGGCTCCTACGGCGTGGTGCACCGCGGCCAGTGGAAGGGCGTCGAGGTGGCGGTCAAGCGGTTCATCAAGCAGAAGCTCGACGAGCGGCGCATGCTCGAGTTCCGCGCCGAGATCGCCTTCCTCTCGGAGCTGCACCACCCCAACGTGGTGCTCTTCATCGGCGCCTGCATCAAGTCGCCCAACCTGTGCATCGTGACTGAGTTCGTCAAGCAGGGCTCGCTCAAGGACATCCTCACCAATACGAGCATCAAGCTCCCGTGGACGCGCAGGCTCGAGCTGCTCCGCTCGGCTGCCCTCGGCATCAACTACCTCCACACGCTCGAGCCGATGATCGTGCATCGGGACCTGAAGCCGTCGAATCTGCTGGTGGACGAGAGCTGGAACGTGAAGGTGGCCGACTTTGGATTCGCGCGCATCAAGGAGGACAACGCCACCATGACCCGCTGCGGCACGCCCTGCTGGACGGCGCCAGAGGTGATCCGCGGGGAGAAGTACGGGGAGAAGGCCGACGTGTACAGCTTCGGCATCATCATGTGGGAGGTGCTCACGCGCAAGCAGCCCTTCGCCGGGCGCAACTTCATGGGCGTGTCGCTCGACGTGCTCGAGGGCAAGCGGCCGCAGGTGCCCGCCGACTGCGCGGCCGACTTCAAGAAGCTCATGAAGAAGTGCTGGCACGCCACGGCCAGCAAGCGGCCCGCCATGGAGGACGTGCTCTCGCGCCTCGACGACATCCTCCAGAACGCCCACGCCTCCGGCCCCACGCCTCGGCCGGTGACGTCCAACGACAACGAGATCGTGTAAGCCAAGACGACCAGTCTGCGATCGTCGTTGCATTTATTCCAGCCTCTGCTGCTGGCCTGTACAGTCATAGCTTCAAATGCAGAGCACACGTAGAACTCATCAAAGCACGGGTGAGTACAGCTGGGGAGTGTTGCAGCTGTTTCTCACCCGCCAGGGAAAGAGAACCAATCCAGGGAAGGCAGGATGAGGGCGGGCAGGAACGTCCTGCCCACCGCGTCGCCGCGGGCCAGCTTCCAGTCGTCGCCAAAGGCAACTGCAGAGTCGTGAATGGTAAGGAAAAGAGCGCGCACAGTTCGACAAACGCGGAAGAGGCAGGTGGTCGCACCATTCTTAATGACGTGCTGAGTAAAGGGTCGTAGCTGTTGCAGCAGCTGACCCGAGCGCAGGTCCCAGATACGCAACAGCTTGTCCTGGCCTCCTGTGTGAAGAAGCAATGGTGATGAATAGTGTGACTTTTTCTCAAGACCGACCCCATGCATCCATCGTACCGGCGATCAGTAGCGAATAGTCCTGCGCCAGGGTGAAGGAAAGGTGCGTGTATTGGTTGACGTGCTCTCCATAGGCGACCACCGGGCGAACCAACCGTCGGTCCCACCGTTGTATCTGCAATGGAGATGATCCACATGATGAATATTATTACTACTACTCTAATATCATGTACTAATGTCATTCTTGAGAGAGTTAGACCACTACGCGCGAGTGTCAGCTTTGCACCTTTCCGTTGAAGGAGCTCACGACAAGGTAATTGTCGTCGTGCAGGATCTTGACGCAGCACACGGGCGACTTTTGCATGATGATGGGGTGATGCGAGCCATCGCGGGCCTCGCGCGGGTTTGCTCGAAGGTCGACGCCACGCACCATGCCGTCTCTAGAGCCGTTGAACAGAGTGTTGCCCTGTTGTGCGCCTCCGGTCAATCAAAGTGTACAGTGCTATGGGTTGCGTGACAAGAGCTCTCAGCAAAAGGAAGAGGCGGGAAGAGGATTGGCCAACCGTTGAGTCAAAGCCCTGTGCGAATACGTCGCTCTTTTTCGTCCACATCGTGGTCACCTACAGGTGCACACCAAACAGAGGGTTAACAGTTAGGGCGTATAACGCAGCGTTGGGGTTGAAAGGGGAGCAAGTACTCGTGAAGTGGTGATGTCGAAAAGCATGGCTCCTTGCGTGACGCCAAGAGCGACATGGCTCGCCTGCGGCTTCCACTCAGCGCACCACAAACTGCGCCGATAGTGAACAGGGACCTTAGGAACTAAGTGCATTCCGACTGCACGCATGTAAAGAGGGGAGGGAGAGAGGTAATGTCCTACGTACCTGCCTTTGTTCAGGTTGATTCCAGTCCGACTCTGAAAATCAACGCCACGAATGTCCACCGACCCGGGTAGATTGTAGCCACCAAACAACCCCACCCTGTTCCAGGACGGGGGGATCAGCGCGAGAAAAATGGCTGACGTGGGTGCACCAAGGACGTGGTGGTCCGGGTGGGTGTACGCAAAGAGGGCGGATTGGCCTGCGGAGCCGGGAGCCCAACGGAGGGAACTGATGGGCGACGCATAGACGTGTCGAAGGCGGGAGGAGTAGAACGCCATGCACAGATCTTCTTGGTCCCGCTTCATGCAACACGCATCCAGCCTGAGTGAAGCAAAGCAATCACATCAGCGGAAGAGCGCCAAGCAAGGATGGCTCGCGCCGGCTTCGTGGGAGGGAGGGAGGGGGCATACGTGACAGCGCCACCCTTGTGGCCCATCAATAAGAGGCCGTCCTTGTGCAGGGCAATGTCGTCGACATCGGTTGGCACGAATGCGGGTCCCTCCCGCTCCGTCTCGCGCTCTCGCCAGCGCGAAGCCAGCGCTTGAGTCTCCCTCCTGTTTGTGGCCCCGCCAGTGCGGCCCGCTGTTAGGCCGGCAGCCGCAGTGAGGAAAGGGCGTGTGTGGTAAGCTGGGCACCTGCGAAACTCGGACGAAGAGATTAGCCCGGATTGCTGGGCGTGCAAGAGCTTGCCCAGGGAGTAGCGTAGTGCTGGCTGCTGCGTTTTGGGCGCCGTGGCGGTGGAAGGCACGGCGGCTGCGGGGAGCGTGTGCGCGGGCTGGGGTCGGAATGGGTCCTTCTTGAAGTAGCGGTTCAGTCGAGGATCGTAGTAGTAACCTAAATTAGGGAGGGGAGAAGAAGAGCGGTGAACACGCCATGGCGAGCACACCTGACTTCTGCGCAGAAGGGCAAGGGCACAGACGGCTGATGTACCTGGTATTTCCTTTGGTGCGGTGGGAGCAGGTGTAGAGGCCGTCGAGGGTGGTGTGAAAGAAGAGGAGGAGGAGGAGGAGGTGCTGCTACCGCTGCCGCTGCTGCTGGAAGAAGTTGGGCAGGCCCTAGGTGTGCGAGGTGCAGCGGCCGGCGGTCGTTTGATTTTCCACTTCCTTCCTGCACCGTGTGCTGCTCTGGCGCGTTATCGAGAAGTCCGGCCGCCAGATGGGAAAGCTGCTGGCACGTCAACGGCAAGAGATTATGTGTGTCGTACCTGCGGTCCCGGAAGTCTTCTGCTTCGCGTCATGGTGCGTGTCCTCATCATCATCATCGTCAATCACCACAATCTCAGGATCGGGTGCGGAGGAACGGTGGTGCACGCGCCGCCTACGCTTCCTCGGACGACCACCTCTGCTGTGCGGTTCACTCATGAGATGCGGTGGCTAAAGAGATGGGGCCAGAAGATCTGTGGATATATAAGAAAAAGAGAGAGAAATGCGGGGAGAAATATTCACAGCCAGATCCAAGAAGCCCTGCTGCGACTCTGCCAACACCATGAGGAGCGAGGTCTCGGCTCTCGTCTTTTGTTCGATAGCCCTAATAGCGGCCCCGTTTGGTACGCCTCGTCAGTTGCCAATGATGACTACATTTTTTTTTAATAATAACATTAATACTCTCCATGTAATTTCATTTATTTGAGATTAGTGTGGTGCAGCGACCTACCACCTGCAGGTGCTGCAGCAGGGAATGACACACTTTACTGGGGTACCCTCTCCTTTGTTGTGAATCAACGTCTTCCATTGATGATGAAGATCTTCATCGTGCAGAGTGCAAGAAGCCTCACTCTCCTTTTCGCACGTGATTGCGCGTGCCATGCAGGAACGTATCGGTCGAACCTCTACTTTGGTGCACGCACGCGTAGTCCTCAATCGCCCCTCGTCGGCCTCATGTGGTTCGGCGCACACAATCCACTCACCGTCGACCGTACGGTCACCCGCATGATCCCTCGCTCTAAGAGATGAGAGCCGCCTGTGTGGACACGAGAAAGCTCAGTTTTCGATCTATGGTTTTTGCGTGCGTGTCGGCCTGACAACCCAGAGCTGCGGCACAGCTGCGAAGAGGGTGACGGGTTGGACAGCTACGGGTGGACCCGGCACGACGGCACCAACTACGGCGAGCAGACACTGATCGACTCGAAGACTGACCTCAAGCTCACTACCACTTTCATCAAGCACCAGCGCGGTGCGAATGGTACGCGCTAGGATCATCGATGCATCGTTGTGCTCCCGTCACGGTCTCCGTCTCAAAGCAAATCATATTATTTGTTCCGCGCACCATGATATAATGTTAGGAGGTGAGTGGGTGACCCGCCTGTCGGGCCAAAGCGCCAGCGGAGCAGCAGCAAGCGCGAAGGCAACTGAGTCTGCGACATCCCTGTTCTTGTACATCACCGTACCTGACACCTACACGCTCAACATTGCCGGACTCAGTGGCACGGCCAAAAAGAAGGTACATATTCATGTCTTTGCCAAAGTGCGTCTCATTAATCGCGTTCTTGTATGACGCAGGGCTTGGCCGATGACGTCCAGGTGGAGGGCCAGACCGACGAGTTGGGCGCTTTCTCTTTCCTGATCCGGAATGGTATATCCGAATCTCTGGTGGCGATGACCTCAAGGTTACTAACCGAACGCGGTTGTTTTGTGTGTGTGTGTGTGTGTGTGTGGTGTGGGTGTGTGGGTGTGTGTTTGTGTGTCTCATGTGGCAGGCCAGGACAATAAGTCTCCGGCCTCCCACTCCCCGCCGGTGGGGATGAAGGAGGTGGCCGATCTTAAGAAGACACATTTCTATGGCTACCATGTAGCTACCGAGGATGTGTGGGATGTCAAACAGGCCGTACATCCAATCTTGCTTCAAGGTAATAACAACCGCTCTTGACCTGTTCGTTAAAGATCACAAAACCTTAGTGTTGTAACACGCGTGCGGGTTTGAAGGTCGCCAGAACCTCTTCTCGCAGTATCGACGACTTCAAGAAAAAGACGGGCTGCAGGAGAGGCCCTCTCCTTTTCTCTTCGTGCCCACTCTCCCAAACACAGTGAGCAAGAATTCCAACGTCATCGTCATTCAGCGAGTGCTGACTCTGCCCTTTGAGGTAATACTACTTTCAAGTCCCTCCGCGCTCTGCTTCGTTTCTCTCCTCCAGAACTGATTCTAACAATGTGACAATTTGTAGATAGATCTGGTGTTTGTGTCCCATTCGGCCCACCCGCAGGCGGCGATCAAGTCGAAGAGCAAGAAGGGCGCCGCGGCTGCTGCGCACCGCACATTCACCGAAACGCAGCTGAGCTCATGGGCTCTGGGCGGCAGTGAGGTGAATACGGCCGTAGCGCACCGAAGGCGAGAATTCGAGAGCCAATTTGAGGAGGCTTTTGGTCTAGCAGCCAAAGGGTTCACCGCTCAACAGCGCCACTTCGCCATGTCCACCATGAGCAACCTGATTGGAGGTAAGCCCCATAACACTTCGGTACTTAGGCACGCCATGGATTGTGACATTCACACCACCACCACTGTCGCTTCTTTTTGTCCAGGCATCTCCTATTTTTACGGTTCGTCTATTGTCGAAGATCGAGACTCCAATCCCGCACAGCCGAGAAAGTATTATTCTCCGCCCAAGGTACCTAGTGTTCATGCTCTTAGCGACATATGGGTATGACGGCAGGCTGATATTCTCTCTCTCTCTCTCCATTCTCGAGCAGAGCCTCTACACAGCCGTGCCCTCGCGACCTTTCTTTCCTCGAGGTTTCCTGTGGGACGAAGGCTTTCACCAGCTTCTCGTGCGCCAGTGGAGTCCACTCATCACGTTCGTTCGCCCGTGTCCTCTTTCTTTATTGAGACAGTTTTCTAGGTAACATGTGAATCATAATTACGATATGCGTGATAGGCGGGACGTGTTGCGGCATTGGTTTGCCCTGCAGGACCCCAACACCGGTTGGATTGCTCGGGAGCAGATTCTTGGCAAGGAAGCGCGCTCCAAGGTGCCACCAGAGTTTCAAGCACAGAATCCTTCCTACGCCAACCCGCCTACACTGCTCTTCCCACTCTCGGCCTCCATTCAGGCCATCAAAAAGGCTCAAGGTGCGCTCTCAGCTCTCTCTCTCTCATTCTACTCTCCGCACCACCCAATTGGACAGCGAATAGGAGCAACCATGGCCTAACGTCATGACGAACCAATGCAGCGAGTGATAGCGTGGCTGGCGTAGTAGTGAACCAAGATGTCAATTCCCTTTCTTCCTTTGGCACGGCAGAACAGACCACAGGTAGATATATCTCCTCTCTGCCTGGCCTCTGGCTTTTGCTGCAGGATTTTTTGTCGTTTTTAGCCACTGAACCATTTTATGTGTTCTTCGTCTTCTCTCTCCCCCCTCCGTGGGGTATGGTGTGCATATCAATCGTATCCAGACGTCTCAGCAGAGTTTGCATTCTTGCGCGAGTCGTATCCCCAACTGGCCAAATGGTATAACTGGTTCATGTCCACACAGCGATCAAGCGGCAATGGCGACGCCTTTTTGTGGGTTGGCAGAAGTGTCAACCACACTTTCACTTCTGGTACGCGCCTCTCCCTACATCAGTAGGGTTAGCACGCCATCCTCGGAAGGACTTTTATCCTGATCTCTGCGGGCCATTACATTAGGCCTTGACGATTATCCACGCGCGCCAGCGGTTTCCGCCCACGAGCAACACGTCGACTTGCTCTCGTGGATGATGTTCTACTCCCGCACGATGGTCGATATTTCGCTTCTTCTCGGCCAGGACCCCTCGCCCTACTCAGAGGCCTACGAGCGCTTCCAGGCGCAACTACAAAGTACTACCCCCACTACTTTTAAGTCACCAGCGCTAACCCGCCGCCTTTCGGGGCACCGCTGACCTCGCGCTTGTTGTTGTTGTTGTTGTTGTTGTTCCTGTCCTGTTTCTCTTATTCGGCCTCACTACTAGACTACTGGAGCGAGGAGCACCAGTGTTACTGTGATATTGACGGTCGCAATCCAGCCACTGGCCTCTTCAATCTTGTGTGCCACAAGGGCTATGTCAGGTACCGCTGTCGTCGCTGTTGGATTTTAGTAATGACTTTGAATGTTGTGAATGTTAATGTCGTCGTTGTTTTCTGTCGCCAGCTTGTTCCCGCTGTTCCTTGGGTTGGTGCCCACCGACTCGCCCAATCTCGGCGCATTGCTCGACCTCATGCGAGACGAAAACCACCTCTGTACGTACAATTTCAAACGCGTGTTTGAACACGTAATCCTTACCCCCAAATGGTACTTTGTGATGTACGTAGGGTCGGGGTATGGCCTTCGTTCTTTGTCCAAGGCAGACCGATACTTCGGCCAGGGCGAGAATTACTGGAAAGGTACCAGTAGACAAGGTTAGCAGCGCAGCCAGTATGCACACGTGCTGATTGTGTTTCTGCACCCGGAACAGGTCCTATTTGGATCAACATGAACTACCTCGCCCTGTCGGCGCTCAAAAACTACTATGCTTCGCGCCCAGGGCCACACCAAGCAAGAGCACAGACCATCTACCAAGAACTACGTAGCCAGCTTGTCGCCAATATGTATAACGTATGGCCCTTTCTTGCTCGGCTACTGCTTGCTTGAATGCCTCTAATATCTTCCTCTCTCCCTCTTACATACGGCGCAACACGCGACACGCACACGACACCGCATGCACGCGACACACAGGAGTACATGCGGACAGGTTACGTGTGGGAACAGTACAATCCAATCACAGGCAAGGGTCAGCGCTCGCATCCGTTCACGGGTTGGTCTGCTTTGGTGGTCCTCATCATGGCTGAGCACTATCCCGAGAAGTACCCTCTCCTTTCTTCTTCTGCTCCCTTCGCGACTAATTCGTAGGAGGGCCCTCAAAAGGAGACGTGCCCATATAAAAATACTCCGACATCCCTTAATTCGGACTACGAGAAAAAAGGACTGCGCCTCCACTACCAGTGTCGCTCCAAGATGAAGGGAACACGCTCACTTCTCCTCCAGGTTCTCCTCTTCGCGAGCGTACTCCTGGCGGTTGCGGCTGCGATCGACGTTGAGGCTGAAACAGCGTTGCGAGTGGAAGTGCTGGCCCCCCTTGGTGAACACCATGGCTGGACAATGAGCCGGAAGCGTGCCGCTCCGGAGGGCTCCCTCACCTTCTTTGTTGAGCTCAAGTATGTTGATCCCTCCTTCGCCTCTTGTCCCCTACCCCCTCTAACAAGACACAACAAACAAACAACACAGCACCGGCAAGGAGGATCTCGTGGCTCGTACAGCTGAGAGTGTATCCGACCCCAAATCCCCCTCCTATGGCAAGTACCTTTCCGCTGAGGAGCTCAGGTTCGCCTCCTCTCTATTTCTTCCTCTTCTTCGCCAATTCCGTTCTTGTGCTGCCTTCTTGCCCAACGCACTTTGTTCACCAAGCAACTACTACGCAGGGAACTGGTGGCTGCGCCGCAGGAGGTGGAGGACCACGTCACACAGTGGCTTCACGCGACAAGAATTGCCCATGACGAGCCTTTGGAGGTCGAATCCTACGGAGATGTCCTCCGGGTTTGTTTGCCTTCCTCCCTTCGCCCGCGATGCTAGTTCATCCTCACTGTTTGTTTGCTTGTTTGTTTGTTTGTTCGCTTGCTTGCTTGCTTGCTTGTTTGTTCCAGGTGAGCACCACGGTCCAGAACACCGAGCAGTTGTTCGACACTCAGCTTGCCCATTTCACGCATTCCGAGTCTCAGCGCTCGGCTGTCCTCATCACCAGTTGTACGCATACCTGTGTGTGCGGCGCACTAACCCAAACCCTCACCAAAAACTTTTATTCTCGGAACACAGCTGCCACACTGCCGGTTGATATTAGCCAGTATGTGCGGGGCGTCGTGGGTCTCGCGGAGGTGATGACCAGCCACCACGTTACGCGATGGGCAAACAAGAACCAGAAGGTGTGTGTGCTCAGCGCTCTCATTCCCCTTTCTCTCACCTGTAACCATGCAAGGTACCACGAGCTTGGGTGATGAACTGACGCCAAACACAACGATACACGTGTGCGCAGAATGACCACCGACAGTCCGAGGTCCCCGTCCTCGGACCGCAGGTCTTGCGGGCCTACTACAACGTGTCGTCAGACCTCTTTGCTTCCCCCGAAGTGTCTCAGGTGCACCTCTCAACCCTTTCGCGCATGCGTGTGTGCACGCATAATACTAACGTGCAGGACATCGATCAACAACCAACAAACGCAGGGCATCATTTCGTTCAACGACGCTTTCTCGCCTAAGGCCCTGCAGGTTCGTCCCATTAATATTTGCCTCTATTCCTTAAGCACGCGGGCTGAGCACAACTCGCTTACAACACCCTTTCTTTGGTGCGAGCAGACCTTTTGTGAGGCGTTCGACCTCAATGTTCCTGAGGTTATTCAGGTCAATGGCGTGGATTCCAACGTCCCAGGCACAAGCGGTCGAGTGTTGGCTTACGGTGCGGCGAACCTGAGCTGGCCCCATACCGCACATGGAAAGAAAGCTCTCAAGCATCTCTCTTCTTTGTGATCACCACACTCTGCAGGAGAGAGCGATCTCGACGTCCAGTACATCACGGCCATGGCCCGCAATGCCACCACTTACCACCACAACAACGACAACGCCGAGTTTGGATTTTATTGGTGGGCTCTCGAGGTTGCCGCGTCTCCCAACCCGGCCATGGTACGCGTTTTATTATTATTATTATTAGCATTATTTATCGAGATTGAATTTTATTTTATTTTTTTAACAACTCGTCAACATTGAGTAGTCTGTCTTCTCACAATTTTTCGGTGATGATCGATGATTGTACCAGGTATACTCCATGTCCTGGGGTATGGACGAAACGTCTCTTCGGGGCAGGAAGGTTCACAGCATCACCAGCATGGATGATAAGTTGGCAAGATTGGCCTTGCGGGGCATTACCATCCTCGCTTCTGCAGGTGCTTCCCCAAATACGCACTTGCGCCTGGTCTCAATCAAGACCGCGCCATCCACCTTTACTGCAAGCGATCTTTTTTAGGGCTCGCTCCTGAGTACTGAGAAGCGGCATTATTGCACATGCAGGTGACTTTGGCGCGTGTGGTGGGTCCCAAGCCTGCCCGGTCGAGAGCTACTGCCCCGCAGGCGGCTGTGAGCACAACACTACTAAATGTACGTACTTTAGTCCGCGAGTGCGCACTACCAGCTAGCCTCACATTCGTCCCGCCTCGCGAGTCCTTGTCTACTGCTGCTGACTCCCTCGATGACCCAAAAACAGGCATGCAAATTCTTGTTACGAATGATTTCGGAACTGTCAGCTTCCCATCCAGTACGTCGCCGCAACTCTCCCCATTGCCCCCTCCCCACAAGTATCAGTCCTTGGCTCTTCCTCCGGGATCAGGCGAGATCTCTTCTAACAACCTGGATTCGCTCAGCCTTCGGGTGGCTGTTTTCGCGACCCACCGACCTCAACCCCGTCAGGGAGTTCCTCCGTAAACAGGAAGGTTGCAATGCCACTGTTGAATGGGACAACGCAGGTACGGCTCAGTATGTGTGCCTGCACCCCTCCCACTCTATCCATAGCGTGATCTCGTCGGAGTCTAACAGCCTGTGTGCTGGTTAACGGGTTGCAGGCCAGCCGTGGCTCTACTCTGAGTGCGAGTGCTCTGATTTCAAGTGGATGGATCTCGGAACAGCACGGTTCAGGTACGGACGGCCTGCGCGCAGTTTTGGGTGGGGGGGGCTTGCAGAAATCGATCAGCAGTGGAGTCATCTTCTTGAAGCTGACAGCTTTCCACTCAAAAACAGAGATTGGACCCCCGCCACGGCTTCTTGGCCCAAGTTGACGGCTGCCTACCCCGCCTCCAGTGTGTGGGTGACATCTGTAGGCGGTACTGAATGGTCCATAGAAGGTACAATCTCATTGATTTTTCAACACCACACCACGCAATTTGCGTACAGAAAACAATGTAACTTATCAGAGGGAGATCTGGTCACACAGGTGAGGAGATCGTTGGCGCGTACGGACCAGACTCCATTTCGTACTACACCACCGGCGGTGGTTTCTCGGCAATCTTTCCGCGCCAGCCGTGGCAGGAGGGTTCCGTGTCCGCGTACCTCGCTAATGACTCCATTCAATCTGAGCTGCCCCCTACATCTGTCTACCGCGCCGAAGGTACCATTTCATGAAGTGGTCGACAGCTCTCTCTCCCCCAGTCTCTCTCCCTCTCCCCAGTCTCCTTCAGATCATAATGAGAGGTGCGTGTGCGTGTGCGTGTGCGTGCGTGTGCGCGACAGGTCGTGCATTCCCCGACATCAGCCTCGTAGGAGCGAATTACTTGATTGCTTATGCCGGCCCAACCGGCAAAGATGAGCCCTTGGTGCGCTGCCCCCTTCTCCTCCCCTGGTGTTCTCGGGTACTCGCCAAGTGAACTCACAGGGACACTCTCCTCCCCGTACTACATACTGCCTTCAGATTTTCCCTGTTCAGGGTACCAGTTGCTCCGCTCCAACTCTTGCCGGCATGATCACACTCATCAACCAGATGCGTCTTGATGCGTATGTCTTCTGCTCTCGCATTCGACTACCGCTCTTGTTCTTGTGGCCAACCGCACGTTGTACATGCGCGCATCAGAGTAAACCACTAACTCTCGGAATAACGTTTTTGATCTCTCTCTCGCACTCACGCGCACACAATAACGTAGGGGCAAGCCGCAGTTGGGGTTCCTCAACCCGATTCTCTACCAAATGGCCCGTGACCGGCCGGAAGCCTTCCACGACGTGGTCACTGGCAGCAACAAGGGCACTACCGGCTATACTTGCCAGTATGGATGGCCGGCGGCCTCAGGCTGGGATGCCGCGAGTGGCGTACGCACCCACCGCCCAGCACTGGGGACACACACCCTGTTGTTCTTGTTCTTGTGTTCCTCAATTCGATCAATACGCTGACAGTTGTGTTTCTTTGTTTGCAAATACAGCTGGGTACCCCCAACTTCGGCATCATGGCGGACTACCTCCTCAACTTCGACGCTTGCTAACCTACCGTGACGTTCGCCACACAAGCTCGCCTTTTCTTTCTTTTATTCCTTTCTTGACTTCTCCTCATTTCCCCTTAATTAAGGGACTGTCAGTCTCTTTTATCTGGTTGGTCCCTCGTGACCGGTGGCCGTGGCTGGCCTTCCACGAACTTGGGGAACGGGTAAGAAAAATAAACAAACGTGGTCACACGGCACCTCACGGCCACACCTCAAGTCACACTGTTCCCCGCGAGTGAAAATGATGCAAGGTTCGGCGGGTATGGTCGAAGCGCCCAGCAGGGTGGAGCTGCGCATCTCTCTCAGGCACACTTACCTTCTCCAACATTTTTTTGCTTTGCTTTGCTTTGCTTTGATCTAGCTGACCTTTTTTTGTTGGTTTGGTCTTTGGGGCAATCTAAATCTCAAAATGTGTTTTGTTTTCAGGCATTTGATTAGAATGGATGTACTTTCTGCGTCGGACCCGCTTGTTGTGGTGCAGGAGTTCAACCCCGCCACTGGTGGATGGAGGGAGGTCGGCCGCACTGAATGGCAGAAGTACGTACTTGGGGCGTGCCGTTCGTGAGAGGCCTCTTGTTCACTCTCTCATTCTTACGCCGTTAATTGGGTGTGGTGTGACGTTGTCCTCTCTCTCTCTCTCTCTCTCAGGAACCAGTCGAACCCGAACTTTGCGCAGGTGGTGCCCCTCGACTACTGGTTCGAGAAGGCCCAGAAGCTGCGCTTTGACGTGTATGACGTCGATAAGCCCCATGGCTCGCTCTCCAGGCAGGACAACCTGGGAGAGGCGGTCATCAACCTGGGCGACATCCTCGGCAGCCCGGGTGGCGTAGCGACACGCGACCTCAAGTACTGCTTCGCCTCTTCTGACCTGCCCGGATGATATCCGCCACCTGGAGTCTCTCTACATACTGATGCGGTCGTGCACGCAAATTCACACACACACACACTCTCAAACCAGGAATCCCGATCATCCGGCGCGTCGGATTGGTGACATCATCGTTGCCGCGGAGGAGGTCAACTCTGAGGCGGCCAATTCCATCGTCACGTACGTTGATTGATGATAACGAACACGACTTCTCCGTGTTTGTCTGCGCTCCCACATCTTTTTCAGTGCCACTGACCGGCTCGGCGTTCGTCGTGGTTTCTTCTCTCTAGCTTTCGGTTCACCGGATCGCACCTCGACAAGAAGGATTTGTTTGGCAAATCCGACCCCTGGTTGGAGATCCACCGCAACAACATTGAGAACGGCCAATGGACCCTCATCCATAAGACCGAGGTCATCAAGAAAACGCTAGGTACCTTTTCCAGTCCCTTATTTTCTCTCTCTCTCTCATTCTTTCGTATTCTCATTTACCCTCCATCACCATTCATTACTCGTGGGCGTGTTCTCCCTCCTGTTGACGGTTTGTTGCTTGTGGGTGGGGTGGGTGGCCAGACCCTGCGTGGTGCCCCTTTGAATTGGACTGCTCCAAGCTGTGCCAGGGAGATTTCAACCGCCAACTCCTCTTCAAGGTTTATGATTGGGACGCAGATGGTAGCCACGACCTCATTGGACTCGCCAACGTGCGTTCGCCCTTGGCATTCTTTCGTGTGGCGTGTGCGTGCGTGCGTACGTGTGTGCGTGAAGTCTAGAGCCTCCTAACACTTACTAACTGGGCCTCCTCCGATTACATCAGGCCACGCTGAATGAACTGCTGCAGGGCAAGCGTCAGCTGCCGCTGATCGAGCCCGACAAGCAGAGGAAGAAGAAGGGCTACACCAACTCAGGAGTACTCAACATTGTCCAGCTGGACCTGCGCAAGAATCACAGGTTCTACCCTCTATTTACCACCGATGAGCTACCTCTGCTTTCTCCAACAACCAGCTCTTTCTCTGCTCTCCCTCTGTAGCTTCCTGGAATATGTCGCTGGTGGCTGCCAGCTTCGCCTCGCGATTGCTATCGACTTTACCGCTTCAAATGGCGATCCTACGGTATGACGCCCTCCCTTATGCACGCATCGCTCTCAAGATTTCAGAACAAATCGGTCGAGCTTTGCTTAAAAACCCGTACATGGGGACGCACAGAGTGCTCGCTCGCTGCATTACCGCGATCCCTCGGGCCAACCCAACGAGTACATGAAGGCGATCATGGCTGTTGGAGAAATTCTTGCGTCCTACGACCAGACTTCGCGCTTCCCGGTATGTAGCTAAGCCCCTTCATCTTTCCGCCAGTGAAAAACCTATCGCGGGGAGGCCTTAGTGTGACTGAGAAGGTGTTGCACGCGGTGTAGACCTACGGATTTGGAGCCAAGATTCCGCCGACCGCTACGACCTCGCATTGCTTCCACGTCAACATGGACCCTACCAACGTACGTGTGTAACACCTTGCAGCCTGGTTCCTTGATTACCCCCCCCTTCTCCCGGCTACCCAATGAGCTGATTCACAACTGAAAACCCGCACACCACTGTTAACAGCCCGAGTGCGTCGGTATCAGTAACGTGATTGGTGCCTACACGCACTCCCTCAGCCACGTCAAACTCTCTGGACCCACCAACTTCAGTCCCGTACGTGCAGTGCTTTATTATCGCTTCGTCAAAATTGTGAGGGCTCACACCTTTGCGTGCATTACAGATCATCAAGCAAGTGGCCGAACTGGCAAGGCAGACGCCCCCTCAGCAGCAGGTCTACTGGACGCTCCTCATGATCACTGACGGAGCCATTTCGGACATGGACACCACGATGGCGGAGATCGTCAACGCTTCCGATCTGCCCATTTCTTTGAGTACGCATCGTGGTCCCTGCCAAGGCGAGAGCCATTATTGACACTCTCTGCACCTCTTATCTTATGACGAACCTGATCCTCGTGTGTGTGTGTGTGTGTGCAGTCATTGTGGGTGTGGGCAATGACGACTTTAAGGAGATGGAAACGCTGGACGGCGATGGAAGGCTGCTCCAGGCTAGATCAGGCAAAAAGGCGTCGAGGGACATCGTCCAATTCGTTCCCTTCCAACAGTTCAGGAACCAGCACTACTCTGAACTCGCTCGCGTCACTCTCGCAGGTTTGTCTGCCGCCTTCCCGCCCACAACGTTCCTGCTCCGCTTGGCGTGTGACTCACCCCACCTGAACAACCCTTAGAACTGCCGAAGCAGTTGACCGACTTCTACAAGGCACACAACATCAAGCCCAACCCCAGGCCTGTCATCTCCATCGCCCAGGTACGCGAGGCCCTCGCCCTATTTTTCGGGTCATTGTTTTGGTTGTGCTCTTTTTAACGCAACGCGCATGTGGCCTTTTCCAGATGGGACTGCAGGCTCCTCCCACGCAGGTGGGGCTTGCTGCGCCTGCCACCGCCGCTCCGGTCACTGTTCCGCCTCAACAGCAGCAGCAGCAGCAGCAGCAAGGAGGCTGGGGAGGGCCGCAGGGAGGAGCACCATCTCCGTCTCAACAACAGTGGGGCGGTCCGCAAGGAGGAGCACCGTCGACTCGCCAGGACGGGCCGCAAGGGGCGCAGCCGGGAGGTTGGGGCGGTCCGCAGCAAGGAGGAGCACCCCCGACGCAGCAGCCGCAGCAACAGGCGGGAGGTTGGGCGGTCCGCAGCAAGGAGGAGCACCCCCGACGCAGCAGCTGCAGCAACAGGCGGGAGGCTGGGGCGGTCCGCAGCAAGGAGGAGCGCCCTCGCCGTCTCAACAACAATGGGGCGGCCAGCATGGAGTCTCGCTGCAGCAGGGTGGGCCGCAAGGAGGAGCATCCCCGACGCAGCAGCACCAGCAGCAACAAGGCTGGGGCGGGCCGCAAGGAGGAGCACCCTCGATTCGTCAGGACGGGCCGCAAGGGGCGCAGCCGGGAGGTTGGCCGCAGCAAGGAGGGCCACCCCTTCAGCAGGGTGGTCCGCAAGGACCCCAAGCTCAGCAACTGCCGCAGGCGGGAGGTTGGGGTGGACCGCAGCAAGGAGGACCGCAGCAGGGTGGCCC